TTTAATAAATATTTAAGATAATTACTCTTTGACCTAATATTTTAATATAATTATATAAATTAATTAATTTATAATTAAATTATACTCTATCTCATATCAATAAAAAATTAATTATTTATTTTACTATCACACCCATTATTATTATATTATTATTTATTCTTACTTTTATATTTATTTATTTATTATCTTTAACTTTAATTTGGCCCAATTAATATTATAATTCTATATTTCTGTTAATTTAGCCCCAAATAAGTATCCTTAATTAATCTCATATTTGATAATCCAATACTAAATTAGATTCTATATTTATTATTATTTATTTAATAATATATTATCACATACAACCATAATACTAGTATAAAATTTAAAGGGCAACTTAAATTTTCGAGTTGTTACAAATATATTTATAAATTATTTTTAAAATGATAAGAAAATACATGTCCAATGTTCAAGTGACTTTTAGGCTTACCTCACGAATTCGAATAGTATTAAGGTCACGCTCATCGTGGATAACAACATTAACATATCTTTTTTGAAGAAATCGAACCTATACACACAAAAACTTTAGAGTAATAAATAAAATTTTATACACATAAATAAGAAAATTAGTAAATTAGTAAATGGAGGTGATATTACGGTTCGGTATAAGTCTCTATCCACCTATAAAGTATGAGAAAAAAAACAATTTATTAGAAGAAAATTATATATGATAAGTTTGAAAAAAAAAATAAACTTTACATTATAAGAGAGGTACTTAAATTTATATAAAAAAAATTTAAAAAAATTAATTGACCAAAAATAGTGATATTATCCATATTTGTTGTACTTCAACCTAAAAATGTTTGGTTATATAATTTTAGACACCAAGAAACAAAAAATTAGTAATAATAAAAGTTAACATGGATTTCATTGGCAATGAAATGTTATTTCAAAATCTGTTGCTGCCAAATCGGACAATAAAATTCAAAATTTTATTTAAATAAATAACTGCCATCGATAGAAAATACTTAACGGGTTACAATCAAGAGGAGAAGAAATAAATAAAAATATAAACATCTAAGAAAAGAAAAAGGTCAACCCAATGTTTAGAATAGATATATTTTAATAATCACATTAAAATGATAAATTAAAATCGAAGCATAACAATTGTCCAAATTTGAACTCTTCTTTTTTCTAACTGACTTCAATTTTATAGAGATGAAATGAAAACCAAAATCAAAACCTGTTATTATCATAATCATAAATTTATGCCAAAAAAAATAATTCAACAGATGCCAATACCATTTTATAAGAAATAATGAATAATTATTTCATGAAGACAACTAAAGTAATACACACATATACATTCACCAAAATTTTTTGAAATGCAATATAGAATATTATACTACCTTAAAAAGGTGCAAAAAAAATAAAAATAAATGATAAATGCTCTTGCCATATTACAGATGAATGTTAAAATGCTAAGTCTTCGAATTTTTTCTTTTAATTAGGAACTCTAGATATTCAAAAAGAATTATATGAAAAATATTTATCATCTGTACATTAGAATCACACAACAAATATATTACATTTAAATGGTACAATTTTTTTTATAATAAAATGTTAAATACATTTTTTTGAGTGTGTGAGTTTAATTTTTTTGTTGCAGGAAGATCAACTAAATAAATCACCCTTACTTTCTTTTTAAATAGCTCCAAACAAACAGTCCATTTCCTCTCAGACTAATTTCAACAACACAGAGCACTAATCACAAACCAAGTCCCAAATAACCCTCATCTCCCTCTCTACATTCTTTGATAAATCCATAATCAACTCACATTTTCTGAACTAACCCAGTGTTTAGAATAGATTTTTTTTAATAATCACATTAAAATGATAAATTGAAATCGGAGCACAATAATTGTCCAAATTTGAATTTTTCTCTTGCTTAATTGATTTTAATTTTATAGAGATGAAATTAAAACCAAAATCAAAACCCGTTATAATCATAAATATTTTGAAATTCACCATTTATGACTTGGAAAGTCCAGACATAAATTTATGTCCAAAAAAAAAAAATTCACCAGATAACAAAGCCATTTTATGAGAAATAATGAATAATTATTTCATGAAGACAACTAAAATAATACACACACAAATACATTTACCAAAATTTCTGAAATACAACATAAAATATTATACTCCCTTAAAAAGGTGCCAAAAAAATAAATAAATAAATAAACATAAACTCTCTTGCCATATTACACATAAATGTTAAAATGTCAAGTTTTTGAAATTTTCTTTTAATTAGGAACTCTACATATTCAAAAAAAAAATTATATGAAAAAAACAGTCCATTTCTTTTTAGAATAACACAAAATATATTACATTTGAATGGTACAATTTTTTTTTTATACAATAAAATGTTAAATACTTTTTTTTTATTAAGTTAAATACTTAGTGAATTTGATTTAAAGTAAAATAAATTATGTTAAATATTAGGGTTAACTTAAATCCTTGGTGTACAAACAACTAATTTAATTTAAAGCAAACCTTTTGATAAGTTAAAACTTCTGAAAATTTAATTGACAAAAACGATCAATTACTATATCTGTAATCACTGTATCTCTACAGTGAAATTGTTTCTCTCTCTCTCTCTATATATATATATTTTATATATTTATGTATACAGACAGATTCACCACCTCTCTCTCTCTCTCTACTTTATTTTTTTTTATCTGTTAATTATGTTATATCAGAAATCAATCCTCTGTAGTTAGATTTAGTTTTATAATCTCAGTATATATGTATATATATAACCAATTTGTTATTAGGTTTTGGCATTTGGGGCAAAGAAGATTAGCTAAATCCAATAGTTGTTCACTGAAGATTGGTATTTGATCAGAACCATAGGTATGAGTTCTCTACTTCTTGTTCTTCCTAATCATGAAAATCCTAAATGGAGATATAACATTTCTGTTTCCAGAGTTTTAATATTTTTATTTGCTTACTCTGCCATAGATCTATCATCATAACCTATATTCCATACATGTGTGTTTGTGTATGTATGGATATACAGTGTTTGGATCTGGGAATTAGGTATCCATCCTCTGAGCTAGTCTTTAACATGTCTTAATCAATTAGATGCAGCTTGTCAAGGATTGTTAATTATTGAGTGGAATGGTTTGGAAATTCATGAGTAGGGTTCCAATTATTTGGACTGTTGCTTAAAAGAAGAGAACAATAGTAATATCCAGAGTAAACGACTGTGATGCATTTGGTCCCAAATCCATGTATGTGCAATAAAACCATCAGTTTTCCTTGTAAATTTGTAAATTAGAAGACTAGATTTGTAATAAGATTTATAATATAAAAAATAAAAATAAAAAATGAGTGATTTTTTTAACGTTTTATGGATCTATATTATCACAATTAATTATAGGTTTATATGTGTGCATACGCATGTTCGTATGCTTGAATTTCAAGAGAAAAATACTCTTGAAGCTTGCACGAGAATGTTTCGATGCTTGAAATTTATATTTACATATATTGTATTGTCCTCACCTTATTTGTATATGTTGGATTATTATTAGTCGTGTGGATGGTCTTCATCTTTGTTAAAGGTAGTTACAAGAAAAATGCCAAAGCAGCTTCAGGACAGTAGTCAGTAAACATTTCCGCTTTGGGGAATACACCTATATTAGCCATTTTAAGATTTTGTTTCTTTTCTTAGTAAGTAAAATGTTGGATTATATGGTGGTTTCTAATGGTGGTTTGGAGTGAAATCCACAATTTAGGAGGGCTTTGGAAAATTGGGACGTCTAGTCGATTGAGGCTTTTTTTTGGATGCTTATACGAGCCAGGGGTTTGAGTAGCAAATTCAAATGCCTTGGTTTGGTTTGCATGGAAGAATGGAGAATTCCATGTCCAGTCTTTTGATAAGAACTTGAGTGGAGTGGGGAGGCCTCTTCCCTCCTTGGAGAGGTATTTGGAGAAGTAGGATCCCTCTAGAGTCTTAGGGTTCTTTCTTTGCTTGGACAACAGCTTAGGAGACCATTTTGACTATTGATAACCTTAAGAAGAGGTGGACATTGATTATTGATTGGTGTCACATTTGCAAGATAGCAAGGTAGATTCTTAACCATCTGCTTCTACATTGTCTAGTGATGCCCTCTTCAATTTGTTAACTACTTGGAGTTACGACCACTGCCCAAAAAAGGATAGGAAAGGAAGGCATGAATGGCTGTTTCTTTAGGTGCTTTAGGTGTTTGGTGTTATCATTCATAGTTTGCAAGGATCTTCACTTATTTCTCAGTTTTTTTAATGAGAGAATCAAAACCTCATATTTCCCACCCTCTCATAATTCCCTTCTACAGACCCAGTCCATAAGGCCCCACCAATCTACCAGCTCTAGTTGCCCAAATACCCTCATATTTGAGACATGTGGACCAGAGTTTTGAGAGAGGATCCCTCCTCCTCCTCCTTCGCCGTCCACCTTTACAAGTCCATTGTCATCCCCCCGTGGTTGGACAGTTGGGATTAATATCATGCACCCTCTACCATGGTAGTTATGATCAATTCAAAAAAGAAATGGTAAAGAAAATCTGTGAACATTAACAGTCCCATTACATTCAATCACTCACTGTTGTCATTATTGTTCGTGACTTCAACAAAATTGTCAATTAAGGAGCAGCACATAGATGAGTTAATTAATTCATCATGCATATGTTTTCTGAATAGGTTGGAAGTAACTACTTCAAAGTTTGAACTAAATGAACCCTAAAGCTCTTGGAATAACATTAAGACCAAGACAACCAAAATTCTCCCTTGCAATGCTTTTGTAGTTGCGGGTTAGTTTTTAGAACTTAAACTTATTTCCTCGATATTTCTTAATAAATGAATGAGAGCTCATTCAACAACCTTCTTTTTTTCTTGGGGGACTGAACTCATATTTAGAAATTTCATTTTTTAACAAATGGTTTCCTGTTTGCTATATATTCTCTCATTGGACCGAGCTAGTCTTGGATTTTATACTTGTGAACAAGACATTATTTTAAAATTTCACATTGAAGCAAATTAGTTTTACAACAATGCATAAGATTAGAAAAGGAGGAGGTTGCCAATTTGATATGTAGAGAATAAAATGCTCTATCCTCTTGGTATGCACATAGAATAGAACATTGAAGTTTCTCAATGCAGTCAATTGTCTTTGTATCCTACCTACATTTCCCATCCACCCATCAGGTAAACCAATATTATCCCTACATTTCTTTCCAAAATGCACTTTGCTCCTAACTTTGCAAGTATGATGAAGAATTAATGACTTCTAGGTTGGACATTATTCAATGTTCTTGTTTCTTTCTCAATTATGCAATACTTGACTCTTTAGTGTTAGGATGTCTTACATCATCTCTCTAAGTCACAAAAGCTTGGTCCATATAGTCTAAAGGCCTTTCAATCCAATGCCAATTGGTTTTTGATTGGATGCCTCGGTAATTTTAACATGGTATCAGAGTTGGGGTTTTGGTGGTCTTTCGTGTGTCAAGTCTTTGTCCCAGGTCTATTTCTCTCATTTATCTCATGTCTATCACCTCTACATGTGATCGGACTGCATGCGCTAGCGAGTGTTAAAAACTTGTTTCACATCATCTCTCTAAACCACCCAAGTTTGATCCATAGTCTACCTTTGAATCAGAAGTGAGTCAGTGACATATAATTATACCAACATCTATTAAGGTGAGATTCAGGGTTCAAGTCCTAGTTGTGATCCAGGGTATGTTGCTCTTGCTTATGCATTAGCAAAGGAATAAGTGACATATAAGTTATCTATGTCTGACACATGCCGTGTTGGTGCATGCCTAAACACACATAATTTTCAACTCCAATGGAGTAGACGTAGTCTATTGATGCTATAGCTTGTTTTGAATTTGACAAATATAGGTTTCGAGATGTCCGGACCATGTTACTCTTATACTTTGTAATCTTTTTTTTTTTTGTAATTAATTAATTAGTCTTTTTCATATGAATTCTCTTTGTTTAAATCTTGATTTTGAATTGTACGACATTGATTAGTGCTATGTCACCATTTTTGTGCATATTAATCTAGACCATCTAATTTGAGATAAATGGTATTGATAATGACCTCTTAACCAATTTTTCCCTTGATTTATTCTAGAAATCCGAAGTTTGTTATGTCTTAATTCATTCTGAAATATTTCTTGTCTTCCAAAATAGTCTTTTATTGAAAGTATTAAGAAAAAAAGATGTTCCAAGATATAGTTTAATGCATGTTGCTGGTCTGTCGCAATCAAGGTCTTAAAAATGGTTGCAAGATTCTACCTATTTAATAATGATAACAAGGTGATTATTGTAATTTGAATAGGAAAAGGACAGGTTGGTATATTATATAAGTGATTTTGATTGACTTGTTCAAGTCTACTTTTTTCATCTTATCTGTGGAAAATCTGCTTATGAACATCGAAGATGCTTTTGTGTTATTTAGCTATTTAGCTACAGTGGAGATCACTCTTGTAAGGAATTTAATTAGTTGGGAATTTCTTCAGTCTATCAAAATCAATGTTGGAAATATTACCTTTGACAATGTCAGAGCCATGTTTAAGCGAGTGGTGTCAATCGATGACACTGGATAAATTTATTTATTTATTTTTAAGGCATTCTGAAGTATGCTAAAATAGTGTCTAAAATTTTTGTTTTTCATGTGGTTTGACGAGTTTGAATTACTTTTGTTTATATGGAATATATAAAATTACAATGCGTCATATGAAAGGTGATTTTGTTGTAGAAATAAAAAATCTAATATAATGACATTGATGATAACTTGTTGAATGAAATTCTTAGTTACGCCATTGAATTTCTTTAGGGCATAGACGATGACAAAAGAACTCTAATACCAATGATGGATTAGTAAACCATTTCATCAAAGCTACTCTTCAGATCAAATCCTACAGGATTAAGGAATGATTCTTTCAAACTTAAAAAACTTTTGTAGGCCAGTACTTGGCATCATGTTTTGCTTTCTTTCTGCATAGTCTTTCTTGTATAGTGCTGATTAATAAGAGTAACTCCTCATTCTTGTCTTTTCCTTGAAGCTTCCTTAAATAAAGACAATGACATCATTATAATATAGGGCCCCCACAACTTTTCTTCTCGTTGGGAGAAAATGGAGTTTTTTTAAAAATTTTCTACGCCTGGAGGTTGATGGGTTTGTTTGTTTGGTTTAGATGACCAAAAAGGGGCAAAGTACACATGGTGCTCAACTCTGATTTTTATTAGTTAAAATAGTAAATTTTATTATTTTATTTTATTTTTTAAATAATGGTTTGCTTTGGAGCATTATTTCAACGAAAAATGCTTGGGAGCACTATTTTTTTTTTTTTTTTTTTTACTTTTTTAATACATTAGTGCTATTAGTGGTGATGTTTTTAGTGGGATGAATCATTGTTGCTATTTCAACACCATCAAAACAACCCCTCCCAAAAGGGGCTGTAACAGAGCAGTAAAGTGCAAGGACTTTAGGTGGTCTCGGGAAGTCCCTATCCTTATACTAGAAGCAACGAGAGTGGGTTTGACAGTTTAAATTCTAATCAATACCTAAATAAACAGGTCTTAATCAAAAGTGGGAGCTGTGAAAGGGATTTTTGAGAGATGATGAAGTAGTCACACCCTTGCTTTGCAGCCCTTTCTCTCGTGTTACATTTTGGCATTCTCTCAATTGTTTTCCATCTATGTTTATTTGATCTATGTTTATTTGGCCTATGATTTATTACTCGACAGCCCAAATGGTTCTTCATCTATATCTTTGTGAATTTTAAATAATTTAAATCCATAAGACTATTTAACACCATGATGAAGTTGTTCCGTTACAACTTCTAGTCCAATCTCTGAATCTTTCAGTTTTTTTGTTTGATGCATGATTTTTAGATCAAATCATCTGGTGTAAATTGCTGCTAGATTGCGTGGTGGCATATTGGGGCCTGAATCTTTGAATGTTGTCATCGTGCATATAGCTGCGGATAGCTTCCTTTTTTTCTTTTTTCCCCTTTAATTTGTTAGTAAAACTTGATCCATCACATAAAAAAAGAGTTGGGTGAGCAACAACAAAGAGTGCCAGAATTTCATTTTGTTTTCTCCAAGATTTCCTGTACATATATTCCTGATATGCTGCTGCTTCACCACTTCGAAAATCAATATGGTGGTCTTACTCTCGGTATGATAAAACCCAAAAAAGAAAAGAACAGAAAAAAAAAGTTCCAAGCCCCCTCCCTTCAACCAAGTTTTGTTTTGGGGGCCTCTCAACTACCTCTTCTCACTAAACTGCTTTACAGAACAATCTATCTTCATCTCTAAATTCCTACAATCATCTCTGGTCATCCTAAACTAACATTTCCTTTTTCTGATTCTGGTCATTGTCTTTACATATATGCTACAAAAGTTCAACCCAAATCCCAACCCCACAAGCCTCCAGGCTCCAATTACGACTTATATTTCCACCACTACTTCTTGCCCAGTTTCTAGTCCAAAGCAAAGCACACCCATCCCAAGAGAAACCTCCATTTCCCACCACCACTTCCACCCCAACTCAGGTCCAAAACATCAGGACTACACAGAACCCACAAACACTTCACACTCAAAACTTCCATTCATCTCACTTCCAAGATATAACTTCAAAACGGTGCATCATTCGGTGTTCCTCACCATCTCAACTGTTGGTATTATTAGGCCACACTAGCTAGCTTCCTTTGATTCCACAAAGGGCGACTGTACGCTATCTTCATCGGAATCACTCCCTGAAGAACTCGCCGAATCTGAACCTGCACAGACAATCCATTCAAAGATAAGAGAGCCCATATACATACTGAAAGATACTGGTGTTTTTTATTTTTTAAATAGAAATTGTAGAGAGATATAATGTGGGTTCTGTACCACTAGAAGAGGAGGAATCACTACTAGAACTCGAGCTGCTAGAGCTACTTGATCTACTACTGCCATTAGCAACATCTTTCTCAATCTCCACTGGAGGGAAATTGTTGATTGGAATCTCCTCTCCAATGTCAACATCTTCCTCCCCAGCATCACCTTTCCTGCTCTTCTGGCCACCACCTACTGCTTCCGGAGTCGGCTCCCGCACTGGAGACTGCAATTTCAACACAAAACTTCATCATTAACCAAAAAACCCAACATCGAAAAAATCAATCAACGAACTACTTACTCATTATCATTCAAATTCCGGCATTACCTTGTTGATCGGTGCTGCAATTGGTGCTGTCAAAACCACATTGTTCATAAGCCCCTGCCGCTTCATCTTGCTTTCTGCCTTCTTGTGATTACTCACAAACCTATCTAGTTCCCACAGAGTCTCATTGTCGAGGGCTTCAATGTCGAGCTCGATCTCATCCCCCTCTTGCGCCATATGAGAGTTCCTCTTCTTTATGATCTCCAACATCTGATCCATCTTCTCCAACGGCAGGTTCTGCAAGTTCAACCCCAACCTCGCTTTCTCTTCAAAGCTCATTTGCCGTTTGTTTGGATCCCTCGCCTTGGGCTTCGGAAGCTTCTGTGTCGATCTCGGCATAACCACAGGTTTTGCAGCAGCAGCAGCAGGAGGTATTGAAACAGGCGCAACCACCGCCTCCACCTCCTCAACTGCCAGTGGACTTGGCAATGTCTCTTGTACACGCATTGAATCAGATTTCTTCAACATTGCAGCCGGTTGGGGCAAGCTTCTCCTTACATTCTCCTCCATTATTACTGGTTCCTGTGCCGGAGCCCAAATCCTCTGGTTGACTTGCTCTGCTGCAACCACACGCTGGTGCTCAGCCTCGAACTTCTTATACGCCGGATTGAACATCTGATCAAACAAACCCAGTAGCGTTTCAGCCATGACATAAACATCCTGACCTTTTGGATTGTACGTCTTGGCATTGTTGAATGTCAATCTCACGTCCGAAGCAAAATCCAGCGGCCATACATACTCCTTCTTACTGAGCCTTGACTTCACAGTCCCCAGATCCATCGGCTGCTTGATGATCTGGTGGTAGTCGTGAAGCCCTAAACCAACCACATCAACAGGTGTATTGAAAACCCAACCATGCTTATGCTTCATCAATTTCCCCAAGATCAGTCCGCATCTTCTCATCATGCTCGTCAACAGCTTATCCATCTGCGAATCCGTCGCCACATGCCGCTTCGGATCTCTACCAGACACGAATGGAAACGCACGTTTCAGCCCTGAAACCTTCTTGTTCTTTCCGGTAGCAAAATCAGCCGGCGGTTGAAACTGATTTGCCTTTGGGGTTCGTTTTTCCTTCGAACCGGAAGCGGCAGCAGCAGGGGACCCTATTGCAGAATCAAGCTGAAGCGGCGGCGGCCGGGGAACCACAGATGCGGCGTCTCTGCCGCCTCCATGATATCCAGATCTGTAATCGTCCCTGCCACGGTGGTTGTCGATCCGAGCCCTAAGGCCACGGACCTGTTCCAACTCCGAGCGCAGGCGTCTCTTAAGCTCTTTGAGCTCCGCCTTCGAATACGCTGCGAGATTGAAGGTCAAATAACCCCCGTGAGACGATTCTCCATGGGCGTTGGGGTCATTAGGTTTCCAATTAAGCTCCGACGAGTCGTCGGGCGGAGCAGGCCTCAGGGGTGGTTGGTCGTTGTGCCAAGCATGAGTCTTGGTAGAAGAAGAATCATGGATCTGTCTGTTGGGGAGTCGATTAGGGCTGGTATTGATAGGGTCAGGGTTGAAGTTGTTGAAACGAGGCTTGTTGTTGGAACTGTTGGTGTATTTCCTCATATAAACCTTGCGTTCTCCCCAGTACGGTTCATTTCTACTCGCCAAAACGGCCGATGCCATGAATATACAGGGATTGAATAGAAGAATATCAGATTCCGGCGGCTAATCTCCGGTGAGGAAATGGCGGGAACCCATCACAGCCAATCGCCGGAAATCTCAACTGCCGCCGGCCGGAGAGAGTGAAGAAGAAGAAGAGAGCGAAAAAAGGAGGGAAGATCGATCGATAATAATGAAGATGATGAAAAGCAAAGGAAGTTGAGAGAGGCGAGGGTTTCGATGACCCTCCTCACCATAGCGAGGAAACAAGGAGGGGGCAGGGGCTGTTCTTAAAGGCGAACCAGATCTGCCCGGTGACGTCTCGGGCTGGATAGCCTCCGTCGATGCGATTCCTGGATGAGATCTCACGGTCCATATGTCGTTTGATGCTGCCCGATGTAGTGACCTACACATCTGTCACGGACGGCTTGGATTTAGGGTTTCCGTACACGTGGCGAAGGCAGGAGGCGTAGATTCGGGTGTAGCGTTCTTTGGGTGGGAATTTAAATTTGGGGTTTCAGTTTGGGGGGTAAATGGGAATTTTCCTTAGTTTAGGGTTCCGTACCGCTTTTTTCAGTGAGTGGGGTCAGCTTGACGTCAGCAAATTATTTCATAATTTTCACTCTCTCTCAAAATGGGTAATATATTAATTTTGAAAAATTCTAAGCTTAGTTTGGGAGGTGGGTTGGTTTTTCAGCTTTTTTTTAATTTTTTGACTATTTTAGTCTGAATTAAAAAGCTTAGTTTGAGAAGAGTTTTTTACTTTTTTACTTTTTTTTGTGAGAGAAGAGTATAATGATTATGAGTTGGATGTGATGTTTTGTTTGTTATGGTTAAAATAGCCTATTTCGTCTTTTGTGATTATTTTAGCCACAAAGTTTTGTTTGTTATGGCTAAAATAGCCTATTTTGTTTTTTGTGGCTAAAATAGCCAAAAAAGCCTGAAAACCATCTTGCCAAACAGAGGCTTAGTTTGAGAAGAGTTTTTTATTTTTTTACTTTTTTTTGTGAGAGAAGAGTGTAATGATTATGAGTTGGATGTGATGTTTTGTTTGTTATGGTTAAAATAGCCTATTTCGTCTTTTGTGATTATTTTAGCCACAAATCTTCTTCCCAAACGGACCGTAATATACACCTTTTATTGATCAATATATATATATATTTTTAAAAAAATATGTATCATATGCCTCTCTAGTTATATCAATTTTTTTAGTTATAATTAATTTTTCTTCTTTAATTATGTTAATATTTTAGTTATATCTCATATTGTATTTAATTGTAATATGCTTTACTTCTTTTTGGTTATGACTCAAAAAATTAAAATTATATTATTTTCTTTTTAGTTATAAGTACATATAGTGCACACACTATAGTGTTTTAATACATATGTTTTAAGAACATATGTTAATAAAAGCCTTTTTTGAAAAGTGTCAAAAAAAAGTCGATTTATTAATTTATTGATTTATTTAGGTCACATTATTTCTTCACTTTTTTTTTTGCACATTTTTTCTTAATAAATAAAAGGTTAAGCCCTTGTTTGGTTTGCTTATGAGAAACAAATTTGGAGAAAAATTTTCAAAATTTTGTTTAATATAATGATTTTGGAAAAAAAAAAAAGTTTCAAAATATCTCCTATCATTTTCAATTACTTTTTCTCTTATACACATCTGCTCAATTACAATAAAACATCAAATCTTTCCAAATTCTCATACTCTAAAATTATTTTCAAAATATACAATCAAACAAATAAAAAAAAATTCTAAACTTTGTATTCAAAATCTTTTTCGAAAATTTATCTCTCAAAATGAAATCAAACCAAACCAAACCGAACACACCCTAATTTTTTTAGCACATTCCAAAACAACTGAAAATTATTTTGATAATCACATGATTACATAATTTTTGCATTTAAAAAAATAAACTTCATTTGGACATATATTGACTTGTTTTGAGAAAATGATTAAAAGTTTTTTTTTTTTTTTTTTGAAAAAATGTGAGAGCGGACTTGTTTGGTTTGTATCTCAAGATATAATTTTTTTAAAATTTTGGTTGGTTCAAATTTTTTGAAATTTTTTTTTAAAATCACTTTCTCTCTCCTACACATCAATCAATCACTTTTTCTCTCTTCTCTCTCCTTCTCAATTACTTTTTTTCTCATACACATCTATTCAACTATAACAAAATATTAAATCATTCAAAATTTCAAAATTATTTTCAAAATATATAACCAAACAAATTTTTAAAAAAAATCTAAACCCTCTTCCCAAAAAAAAATTTGAAAATTTATCTCAAAATACAAACGAAATACACCTGATGTGATTCAAAATAGATTAAAAGTTGGAAGATGACTTTTAACCATGGTTCCAAAATGGCCCATTGTATTTGTGTCTAAGAACATTGGCAAACTTAAAGAGTACTTAGGTCTTATTTGGGAATAGATTATTTTAATAATTTTTTAACTTTTTGTAAAAAAATATACAAAAAAGTGGAGAGATGTGATAATTTATAGTATTTTTTTGACTTTTTAACTAAAATTAAATGTTGCCAAATAAAATCGAAGAAATTGTTTGATTATATATATATATCTGTCTCCAAAATGTGTGAACCCAAGCAAGACGAATCACTTCAACAGGTCGGTAATGAACCGGATTTGTAATGAACCCAAAATGGAAAAAAAAAAAAAAAAACTTTGGAAAAACAAAATATGGCAAAATTTACAGATACAGATTCTCCACTTTTATACAAATTTGCGAAAAATCCCAATGTTGTATAAACAGAAAGGGGCTCCAGACATGAATCGTAAGCAGAGGCCCCACACACACAGATCTACGAAATCAGAAGGATTTGAAAGAGTTACCTGAAGATCGGTGGTGTTTGAGAGGGTTCCGTCTATTGTTCACCGCCGCCAACGTTAGGGCCCAACCGTCCGATTTGCCGACCTGTTCGGGAGTCGTCTTGGCCGCCGCAGATGCGTACTCCGGCCCGATCTCCTCCAAAAAGCTTGGCTCAGATGTCGTCGCCGCTGGTAGCCACTAATCGCCTCCTTCGCTTCGTCTGTTAGGTTTTTGGTTGTGTTGTGCCTTTGATTCATTCATCAGTTGGGCGAAATGATGATCTGATTTGTTTGAGGGTGTTTTCGTAATTTTACCCGAACAACGTTTCCTCTCCCACCCGTTGGACAGCCTTTGTCGTGTAGTGGCTATTTCAGCCTTGTTTGTCGTCATCTGGCTAATTTAGCCTCAACCACGCTTCCCAAACACATGCTAAATAAATAAATAAAAGAAAAGATAAGTTTTGAAAATAATTTTGAATTGTATTTTAAAAATATATTTGATTAACATATTTTATTCAAATCATAATTTAAAAATAAAAATAAAAAATAAACCAAACGCTACCTACAATTTTTTTCTTATAAATAATGAACACTATTTTTAGTTTTAGAATTGATTCTACTTTTATAATTAAACGGAAAAATGAAAGTAATATATCAAAAATAATTGTTTTAATTTTTTTCTAAAATAAAATAAAATCAAATAATAGAAAAATAAAGCATTAATAACTTCTCGTAGATGACGTAATTTTTACAGTGTCATTAACTAGTGTGAAGACAACGGAAGTGGGGACGTTACTGTGCAGTTCGCGCAACAGCGTCTGCTGTGCGGTAATTTGGGTCCATTTCAAGATTCATTTTGATAATTCGAACTGTTCATATTTTAGAATACATCAAGTAGAACATGTCTGTAAAAAAATCAAGTTAATCAGATATCGTTTACCTATTCATCCACTCACATTTGTATTCATTTTAATCAAATTAAAATATATTTGTATTTATTTTTGTAGATACAAATGTGAATGGATGAATGCGTAAACGATATTCGATTAATTTGATTTTTTGTAAGCATGTTCTACTTGACGTATTTTAAAATATGAACGATTCGAATTATCAAAATGAACCCTAAAATAAGTTCAAAATGAACGATTCGAATTATCAAAATGAACCCTAAAATAAGTTCAAATCGCTGCACAACAGACACTGCTGCGCGGGCTACGCAGCAGTGTCTCCGTATCCGAAGACAACATATAGACCTAGGGCTTGAAATATAATATATATATATATATAAATTGTTCTTTTCATTTGGTGAGGTGAGGATGGAGTCGCCTGGTGTGTAATGTAATTGTTTGGTACAATTTATCTAGTTATTTATAATTTTTATTTATTTATTTTTAAAAATATGTGCCATATTGTTTGATAAAGTTTTTATTATAATTTTATTAAGTTAAATTAACTCAAATAAGTTTTAAAAAAATAATTAAAAATATTTTAAACTGTTACTTTTGACTTAGAGGATTTTTTTTTTAAAGTCTCTGGTATTAAGATTTTATAGCATAAAGGACACTCAATATTTTCATGATGTCTAAGGTCCCTCAACATCTTCAACATCAATCCAGAGAAAATTCGATCCAGAGAATTTCTCTGGATACATTACAGAGAAAATTTCAAATTTCTTTGGATACATTACAGAGAAAATTCTAAATTTTTCTGGACATATCACAGAGAAAATTCCAAACAGGGCAGGGAAAATTGAAATTTCACTGGATTCAAACGCTTTTAACATATATCGCAAACAAGTCAGAATCCTTCAAACCTCAAACATCTATAATCTCATGATGAGCTTAAAATTTACTCAAAACCAAACCATTGCACATCATGGTTGGTGAGCATTGAAATCAAGAAATATACATAAACAAACTATAGATTTCCAAACTAAAGAATTTCTCTAGTCCAAACCAGAAAAATTCAATCCATATCAGAAAATTTCTCTGGTTTAAACCAGAAAAATTTGGTGGGGATGAAGAGAGAGGGATTGAAGAGGAATAATCAAACACTTGGCGCACATAAACATGGATTGAACACTTCAATCCACAGAAAATTAAACAATCAAAGAAAAGTTCAAACCGGAAAAAAATTGAACAACTAGAGAAAAGTTCAATCTAAAGAAAATTGAACCACCAAAGAAAATTTCAATTCAGAGAAAATTGAATTACTCAAACACCAAAAATAGAGACAAATAGATACCAATTCCATAAGCTTCTGAACCAGAAAACTTGTTAGGCCAAGTCCTCGGTGATATTTGAAATTTCCATATTCGGATTCACGGAATACACATTCTTGACTTTAATTTTCGGATCTCTGGAAATGTTTGCAAATTCTCCACTGCCATTGACAAAGGTCTTGGGGAAAATCACTTACCATGAACATCAATCCAAACAA